GTACGTGTGTCTGTATATACGAAACTTTTCCCGGCCCCCCCCCCCCCAACCCGCCCCCCACGCGCTATTTGCCCCTCGTTTCATTTACACACCACCTTGTGCCGTAACAGGTCTGAATCAAACGCCTGTTAATCCAGGCAGGATTAATTTCCTCACAGGGCGCTGTGTTATTGCACAAAAAAATTCCAAAAATTCTGCCCCATGCTTTCTTGTGCACGACATGTTTCAACTTGCCTCTGGAGCCCCGCCCACTTCTGGCACAGCATCCCAGCAGTGTTCACTGCTGGTGCCCACAGGAGGCAGAGTTTCTCAGGAGTTACTATTGGATTTCTTTGATATATATGTGTATATATATTTTTTTTTTTTACTCTAACTCTAACGTTTGAATGTCTTCTTCTGCAGCGGTGTCCAGGCTGGTGAGCGGTGCCGCGGTGGACAGGTATGACACCGAGAGGCCGCAGCGGCACACGGCTGTCATCAACTTTGTGGACACAACCAAAGACAGGAGGATGGAGGACGAGAGCAGAAGTGCAACCACCGTAGCGTACTCTCAGGAAGGAGATGAAGAGGAGTACGATGACGACCAATACTACGACGAGGAAGAGTACAACTATGAGCTGTCTGGAGATGACAGACTAGATATGCCACGAGGTATTTCTTCTATTTTTTGGTCAAAAAACTATTGTAATCCAACATATTCAGTGAAATGTAAATCTCTAATTCTCTCGTCTTTGGTTTCAGTCGCCATGTCGAGCAAACCCAAAGGGGTTGAGGCTGAGAACACCGAGGGAATGAGGAGAGGAAACGGAAGAAAGAGAGCGAAGGGAAAGGGAAAGAAGAGGAATCCCTGTCTTAAGAAGTATAAGGATTTCTGCATTCACGGCACCTGCCAGTACCTGAAGGACCTCCGCGCCCCGTCCTGTGTGTAAGTACACACTCTGCTCCACACCCTCCAGTCAGGAACCTGAGAATCTGTTCAATTATTAACCTCTGTCTGCGACCTGTCTGCAGGTGCTTACCAAATTACTCCGGTGAAAGATGTGAGTTCATCACGCTGCTGCCCGTGCAGTCGCCCGAGGGCTACAGCCGCACCACAGCTCTGGCCGTGGTGGCCGTGGTGCTTTCGTCCGTGTGCCTCACCATCATCATACTTTTATTAATGTTGAGGTGAGTGAAATGCAAACAAACACACCTTTTTTTAAATCATAAAGCAAAAAAATGGCTAGATGCTAAAAATGTTTGTTTTCTTCACAGGTTTCACAAGAGAGGAGCGTATGACGTGGAGAATGAGGAGAAGGTCAAACTGGGGTTAGCTTCCAACCACTGAGGAGACGATGAGGGGTGAGTGGGAGGATCACAGACACCCTCAGTCCTAAAATACGTCTCGTCAGTCTCTGTTTCGCTCATTGCTGCTGTTACTTCCTCAAACCAGACGATGCAGAAATTCTACCTCAAAATAAAAAAAAGAGAAGTGAACCACGAGAGAAGGTCCTTCAAGGAAAAAGGAACGTACACGAAGAAAGGGGCTGTCTGTGTGATCCTCCTCTGGACGTTCGGATGAACATATTCCCGTAGACCTCCTGTAAAAAACGGTCGCTTCAAACTGGAAAACTCGACGCTCCAGACGAGAGGTGACAGAGGAGGAGACGAAGGAACGGGAAGAAGAAAGGACTAAATTCTAGACTCTGTGCTGCTTCTTGACTGTGTGAAAAGTCTTCTCAGACTGAACTAAATCAGAAAAAAAAAAAAGTTTTTTTTTCTTCTTTTTAACAACAATAAGAGCTCGACCTGTACTTTTGTTTCCTGCACAAGTCCATCTCTGTTTTGTGTACAGTCAACAGTATATTTATAATTCTAATTTATTTATTTAAGCTAACTTTATTTATATAGATTTTTTTAACAGTCTTCTGCATTTTTAAAAAGAATGTTACATTTGTTTTTGTATTTCCTATTGGACAATATTTATTTATGAAACAAAGTGTAAAAGTAAAAAAAAAAAAAGCAGAAGATCCATAAGACGTTCAAGTACTTCATGAAAAGTGATGAAAAACCTGATTTCTTTGGATTTGGCACTCAAACAATGATCAATGGCACTGTGATGAATAAATTAATCTTGAAATCGATGTTATTTTTATTATTATTATTATTATTATTTTGAATACTTGTCCTCAGTGCTCTGTGGATTCCCATACCTGGAATTTGCCAAGTAGAACTGGTGTGATCTGTCAAGCTGTAGCAGGCGATGCCTTGCTCAAAGGCACAGTGGTAAAGATAAAGGTTTCGACCCCAAATGTGTCCTGCAGGTTCAGGGGTCTCTGGGCCACACTATTAGAAGTTGGCTCAGTATTAGAAGTCAATGTCATGGCATTATCGTACACATCACTGGCGTCGCCAAACCGTTTCGCTGAGTTTGAAGCAGAAAGAACTGTTTAAATGTCATGTTGTCTTACAACCGCTTCAGGAGAAATTCCCTCAGATTCATGTTAAGCTGCCTGAGCAAAAGCAAAAATGTGAATTCAAGTGTTCCACCTTTTCAAATCCTGTCCTGCCGTTTTGAAGTGATGTTCATATGTGATTTATTTTTTTCAAAGCGAAGTAAAAAAAAACAAAAACAAATAAAAGATGATCTGACTCTAATCCTTGACTCTAGACATGGATACTTGCTGATTACACCATGTTCTTGGCGTTTAAAAGGTCAGGGTTTATTTTCTGCCCTTTGCTTCACTTCCTGAGTCAGACAACATATAAAAAGTGCGATATTTTAATGTTGAGCCGTCTGGACGCGAGAACGCTCTTCGGGGCCAATTTTAGTAAAGACAATATTTTTATTTCCTATCTCTGACGTGAGATCAGTTTGAAACCCAAGCACCTGTATCCTGGCCGCCGCAGCCATTATGTTCAGCACTGAGAAAACAAACACCTTCAGTGGATGCTGCGAAAAGCTCCGTAAGTTCATCATTAAGTTTAACAAAGACTGGTGGAAGATGAGGGTCATGTAAAAATAGGTTGGATTTTTCTTTTTTAAAGATCAAAGTTAACAAAGTCATATTCTGGGATTACAGTCAGATTGCTGCCCTTTCTCTGGAGCCAAGAATTTTAATCTTTTTTCCTCTGAATTCCAAAACCTACTCCCGCTCTTTCTATCTCATGACTTATTAGGGAAAAATGCTCACAATCCTGTCTTGAGATTTGAATTTTTTCCCCCTCATGAATCTCAGAACCATAGAATCCAGATATTTAGTTAAAAATTTAGACTTTTTCTTACACCGTTATGACTTTTTTTATAACAAATCACTGACTGAAAAGGAAAAAGAACATTGTAAATATAAATTATTATTAACCCGGAATTTGAACCTACAAAGTGTGGCCTTTGTTTGTAATGTTTGGACATCACTTTTATTTTGAAGCTTGAACCTTATTTCTGATTTCTGATCTGAAGTCTTAATTGAATGGAACTTTCTCAGTGAAAGTTGATCAATGACAGCGTGCAATGTTGAAACTAACTTTCAGTTCTTTATATGCACAGATCCACAGGGAACAGATGTGTTTGTGCGTGCGTGTGTGTTTGTGTGTATAGTCAAGACAACACCTGTTGATCAGCCACAACACACTGTACCCCGGCTCTCTCTACTCACAGCAGATGTTACGTTCAAAGACGCACGAGCAGCTCCAACATCTGAGGCCTGGTGCGGCCCTGAACGCCGCAGAGTTCAGAGAGACCACGTACAGCAAATACCAGCAGGATGCAGTGATGCTGTCATGCGGGCAGCAGGCCGCGTTTAATGGGAATGACGAGGAGCGTCAAAGATCCAGCTGGGCTCAAAGGCCAGCAGAGCCCCAGCCAAACGTTAGTCACCTCCTTGAAGTAACCTCCTACATGGATGTTGTTACACTGAGTGTGTATGTGTGTGTGTGTGTGTGTAAATGCGGTAAGGAAATGCTTTGGTGTGTCTGTGTGGGTTCCAGGGGCTAACCGTACCATTACAAGCAGAACTCCGCAGCAGTGTTTACATGTTTGCCATGGAATTCTTTTCAACGCTGCCGGTGGATGTGATTCCCAAACTCCCTATATATACTGGATCAACAAGATGCTGCTGTAGTTAAAGACAGATGTTCAGATGAACCATGAGGGTGTGGTACCTGATGCAGTAATCCTCTATTTTTATACCAGTTGTTAGGGAAATGAAAAAACACTAAACCATGTGTATTTGTGCAGTCGGCACGTTAGATAAATGTTTACTTATCTGTCACCAAAAAACTACTTTATTTTTTTAATCTGATTAATGGTTTGGACTTGTCAGCAGTAAAATCAACAAAAGGGTTAAAACCAGTAAATTCAATAGGTGGCAGTAATGAAGCTCACAGGATTCACACTTTCCAATAAAGCCGAAGAAGAGTTGAGAGGAGCACCAGGGTTATTAGCCGTAATGGCAATCTGATATGATACATACTAGCATGCAGCTAACATGGAGCTACATTGCTAACAAAACATAGCTCGCATGCTCACTTCCCTGCTTGTGTAAAAAGTTTTAATTGTGTTTACAAGGTTAAATTCATTCATTTGAATAACAGAATAGGCCTTTAAATGCCTGATTGGCACCACCTACAGGGCAGTAGGGGTAGCTACATGCGGACAAACGCAAAATACCCATTTAATGGAATTTAGGAACACAATAATTCCCCTTAAAGCTAATGTTCCTGAGATGTTGTGCACATGTTTTTTTTTCTTGAAATGCATCTCATTTTGATTTAGGAAATTTCAAAAGTGCACAAACGTCTTAATGTCGTTGATGCTCAGGGCTAACTTACAGTAAGGCTTGTTACACATATGACCATGTTTACTTTCAAAAGCATGAGTGTGTGTGTGTGAGTGTGTGTGTGTGTGTGACTGACAGGGGTTTGTCATTTACAGTAGTGGAGCCACCTAATCCCGGCCTCTCAATGTCAAGTAGCAGCGCACACAGAAATAGTCCCGTGCAGTCATGCTCACATAGCTGCTATTCCCGGGGCTGATCGCCACCGAAGAGCCGGAGTGAAGTGGCAGGAGTGAGTTTGCTGTCTGCTGGTTCTCAGCAGGCTAGTGGACTAGTGCCAGGAGTTAATGTCCAATACGACGGCCCGTCCTCAGGCACCATTTCTGCACCACCTGCATTGGCCTTGTAAGGTCACAGTTGTGGCTCCGCAGCAGCTCTGCTCTTCTCTGCTTTTCGCCTTCTTTCTCTTCTCAATCTTTTTTTTTTTGGAGTGATCAGGATGATGCACAAATATCCCAGCAGACATTTCAGGACGAGATGGCGGAATATTTTACAAAGGCATCGGATCCTTGTCGTTATCGTGACGTGTATGTCAAGCCTTTAAAACAAATGAAAGTAATTGTTGAAATATACTTATATTTTTCTTGATCTTTTTTCCCAGGATATACTGTACATTTTTGGGCATATTTAGGAATGAATAGAGTGATTATCACCCTTGCTTTACAGGAATAAGGTCACGTGTTTGAATCCTGGTCTTTTTCTGCGGCAGTTGCATGTTCTCGCTGATGTCTGTGGCTTTTTTCCCCACAGTCCAACAGTATGCCACACTTAAGCATCCACACGGTGACACATAGTGATGCAGGTTTGGTCATTATTAGAGTTCAGTGAGCAATTTAAGTCCGTTACAAAGTAATAAAGCCGCTGTGACTGCCAGCGTTGAGTAATCGGCCTGGTTGGACTGAATCAGTGTGAGCTTGTTGTAAAAGGTGCTTCCTGTCCTGCTGAGCAACAACAATGGGTGGTTTCCACACATCGATGGAAGTGCGCACAGCAACAGTTGGTAATATAATCATTGCCTAACCGGATATCATCAACCGGAACATAATATTAGCTAGAATTAAAGAATGTGTGCATGTCAGAGTTTGTCCAAGATGAGGAAATATAACAGGAGGTGTGTTTGTTTATTCATGAGCACAAACAGGAAACAAACAAACAAACAAACAAACAAACAAAAAACCCCACCAGAGACAGACTCCGACCACTGCAGTCCTGATTGATGAAGTGGTGACAACGTTAAAAGTCATTGTCACATGTCCGTATAAAGCTGCACACAGTCTGTGAGGAGACAGGAATAAGAGAGGTGACAGATAAGGTTGAGTCTGTAACAGGAGACGCAGAGGCGAGAAGGAGGATTGAGAATGGGTCAAGGTGAGAAATTCTACTTAGAAGGGTGCTGACTTGTCTTCACCTCCATGTGGACGGAACAGATTAAGGAGGTGACTGGTGGCTCTCAGCCTTCGACCTCAGGCCCTCGACATGAGTTTTCCCTCCAGTTCCTGTGAGCTGGCCCGTGTATTCATCCCCCACCCCCACCTCCGTTTCCTTGAGCTTTTCTTGTTCTCACTGCTCTTCCTCTTCCGTTGACTCCTGAAGGCTGTGCCATGTGCTGCGAGTCAGATGAAACATCTGCCCCCGAGTCCCTGCAGCCGACAAAGAGTCTCCGACAAAGATGGACTTTGTAGCGTATCGTATTTTCCGGACTATAAGTCGCACTTTTTTTTTACATCCTTTGACTGTGTTTGCGACTTATACTCTAACAGCCTCTAGAGGGCATTCTAGCTAGCTATGTATATGACAGCCTCTAGAGGGCATTCTAGCTAGCTGGTGCGACTTATACTCCGGAGCGACTAATATCTGTTTTTTTTTCTTCTTCATTATGCATTTTTTAACTGGTGTGACTTATGGTCTGGAAAATACAGTCATTCAATCTAATTTCTTTGTAATTGAGACTCTGACAACATCCTCTGATTTCACGAGAAACACGCTGTTCTTGACTCATACCTATCGGCTCCACTACCTTATAAAGCTCATCTTCATCTCCTAAACCTCAAACACGTGTTCTTTTACTGCTGCACCAGCAGCTATGAGGAAACAGCGGTGCAGGCAAATTACAACTACATTTGTCAGTGAGACTTCTGCTGATGTTGGACCATTTGTATTTGATAGTTTGGGAAATGACTAAGGTTTTGTTTGTGTACTTAACTGGAAGAGCCAGCTCAGCTCAGCATGAACAGTAATGGACAATACATTCTGTTTAAGGCATCACATCAAGAGGAAAAAAAATGTCAGCAAAGAAAAGCAATTTGTCTTGGCGCCCCCTCCCCAGTATTGGCTTCTACGATGCCATTGGTTCACAGTATCCTATTTGAGGTCTGTTGGAAATACGAGTCTACAATTCAGTTGACCTAACCAGACTAAAAACACACTACACTTAAAACATGGCATGACATGGAGCTGTTTGAGCTGATGATGTCACGCGTCTGTCAGAGACGTAGATTTTGTCCACACGACTGTGGTGTTTCTGCCATGAAAATATCGGTTGGCCGATATTATCATCCCTAAGTCATATTTAGAGAAATAACATTTGAAAAAAATATCACAGACATGAAGTATTTGAGCTTTTTTTTTTTACTTTCAAAAATCATCAAGCGGCCCGCATTGAAAGCCCAAATGGGCCGGTTTTGGCCCGCAGGCCGTATGTTTGACACCCCTGGTTTAGACTAAAATTTGAGATTTTTTTTTAATATAATATACCTTTAATAAAAACAAACATACAAACAGTAATAATGTCATCATCCTTGTTTTCACTCATGCACGCTGACA